GGGCCAGCTGAACAACAATGATAACTGCAACAATAACAACAACAAAAATAGCCAGGCTTTGTGGTGGGCGCCTGTAGTCCCAGCTACTTGGGAGGCTGAGGCAAGAGAATCTCTTAAGCCCAAGAGTTTGAGTTTGCTGTGAGCTGTGATGCTAAGGTACTCCATCAAGGGTGACATAGTGAGACTCTGTCTCAAAAAAAAAAAAAATGTACAGAAAATATGTGTCTCTTAGAACTGATGAAATTTATTAATTAAAAATTATGGACCGGGAGCAGTAGCTCACACCTGTTATCCTAGCACTAAGGGAGGCTGAGGCAGGTGGATTGCCTGAGCTCAGAAGTTCAAGACTAGCCTGAGGAAGAGCAAGAACCTGTCTCTCAGAAAAAAATAGCTGGGTGTTGTAGGGGGCACCTGTAGTCCCAGCTACTTGGGAGGATGAGGCAAGAGGATCACTTGAGCCTAAGAGTTTGAGGCTGTGAGCTGTGATACCACAGCACTCTACCCAGGGGGACAAAGCAAGATGCTGTCTCAAAAAAAAAAAAATTAATTATTTTAAATAAAAATAAAAATTATGGTCAGCAAATTGGAATATCAGTTGACCAGTCGGTCATTAACACAAAGACATACACATATTCTAAAGATTTTTTTAAAAGAGATTTCCCCGCATGGTGTGTCTGTGAGTCTTCATCCCACATTTCACGCTTTCTTACAGGGCACATGACTACAAGAGAGGGCTGCTACAGAGACCTGAAGTTTCCCGTAAATGCATCCTTCTGCAATCCCAAGACCCGCCCTGTCACGGGGCTGGTGTCCTGCAGAACAGCGGCCTGTCCTCCCAGGTAAGAAGCGCTATGTCCGTCTGAGGGCTTCCCCACGCGCAGCCTCAGTGAGTACATGGCAAACCCGAGTGTGCTGACTCCAGCCACATAACTCACAACAACAAGATGCAGAAGGGGCAGGGGCTGCCTGGACAGGGACCTGCACAGCACCTCTGTGCGGAAGGGGTCAGAGCCCTCTGACTGGGCGCCCCCATCATGGCGTCCTGTTTGTTCTATTTGTGGTTTGAACAGTTGTGGGCCGACAGGTGTGATATCACACCATGGGACAGTGACGTGGTCTCTCTTAGCCAAAGCTGATAAGGTGACAGCCACTTACCATCTCTGAGGAAGGCCTGAGTGGCTCAGGAGAGTTAGGGAAATGAAAAATTACAAAAAGACAGAAGGTGGCTTGGTTCTTGTGAAACCCCTCTGGGTTTGCCGACCAGTGCTTGGAGGAGTTGAGCCCCCAGCCTCTCACGGAGACCATGAGACCAGAGGACAGGAGGGTGTCTCCAGCTGCTGGCTGGAATGACAGAAACCCTGCCCAGAGCCATGAGCTGTCTCAGGCATGCACTGAGAGGGGGCTCTGTTATCCTAGGGGTGCTACCTTGAGCCATTGGAAACAATGTTGGTGTTTGTTTAAGACTTCACGGGCCAGGGTCAAAGCCTCATGGCGGGAGGGCTCAGGTCTGGTGGAGAGCAGAGTCTTGGTTAGCTGTTGCACCAACTTACTCCTCCCAGACAGCTGGGACCAAATTTGTGCTATCGCTGATGCTGACTGTCATTACCGTGACTTTCCATCACGGATCTCTGAGGGACCTCATGAGACACGGTGGGGTCACTCCAGGTGCCAGTCCTGCTGTCTGTACTCTGGTGTCCACATTCACTAGAGTCACCTCGGGCTCCTGGAGACCCAGCTACCTGTGCTATGGGTACACCACTAATCTACCCTGGAAGAAATAAACGTGAGCACTTGTGTATGTGTGTGTTTGTGTGTTTTAGAGAGAGAGAGATTTTCACATGCAGGAGAAACTAGGCTTACTAAGTCGTGTGCAAGTATATCAACCAGAATGTTAAAACTCAGAATAAATGGAGATCTTGAGCGTTGGAGTTGTTGGGAGTTGGAAGTCCTGGTTCCCTGAACCCAGTTGACCTGGTTCAGTTGAGGTACTGAGGATTCAAAAGCAAGAGTGTGTGGAAACCAGAGTAAAACCAGAGCAGCACAGGCAGCGCAAATAGAAAGCAAAGCCGCTTCCCACAGGCTTCATTATAACAAGGAGAAATTTCATTCAAAAACAAAGAGGAAGTTTAGAGCACTGCCAAAGATAGCTGGGAGTGGGTCCCTCTTAGGGATGAGAAGAGGCTAGAGAGACCCGCCCAGGCTGTGCAGAGTATAAACGGCCCTTCCTCCCTGTTTGCAATTGGCTGCAAGCCTTTCACCTCCTCTCTGCACCTCCAGGCAGTGTTGTCCTTTTGACTGGGCACTGGTTACCTGGGTTACCTCTTACCCACATTGTTTCCCCTTTTGTTGCAGAGACCTGCTGAGTGGTGAATGTCCCTGCCTCTGACTTCCTGCTTCAGCAGGCCAGGCCTCCCACCCATCCCCCTTGAAGCCGCTTTCTTCATGTCCCTTCTCAGTAATGATGATTTCCTAACTAGGCGAGTTAGTGGGTCCGGCACCTCCTTGCAGTCCAGCCTCCCCTGGCCTGCTCAGCTCACCAACCCCAGCCTGAGTACCAATGCCTAGGTTTCTCCCTGTGTGATTTTCAGCATCACGTACATAATTCAGAAATAGACTGATAGTTGGAAAACCCCTGAGTAAGCCCCCTTGAGTCTCCAGACCCTCCAGGACCCACACTAGGAAGCACACAGAGGGGGAGCAGCGCTGTGCTTTCCGTGGGGGCCTCAGCCCTTTAGCAGGGAGAGAACAGGCAGCTGCTTCAGTTTCTGCTCTGAGGGAGGAGAGTTCACCTACATCATGATTTCTCATCTTCACAGTTTGTGGGTTGGCTGCTTGGCATTTTTTCCTTCCTGCCCACCTCTGTACTGCCTCTAGATACATCCTCCCTGGGGGCTCCTGGTGGAGGCAGCCCAGGCTGGTGGAGAGGGAGCCCTGCTCCACTGCACCCCCTCTTCC